ATATATTTGTTATACAGTTTAGCAACAAAGTACCAATATTTATTTATTTGTTATATAGTTTAGCAACAAAGTACCAATATTGATTTATTTGTTATACAGTTTAGCAACAAAGTACCAATATTTATTTATTTGTTATACAGTTTAGCAACATAGTACCAATATTTATATATTTGTTATACAGTTTAGCAACAAAGCACCAATATTGATATATTTGTTATACAGTTTAGCAACAAAGTACCAACATTTATATATTTGTTATACAGTTTGGCAACATAGTACCAATATTTATATATTTGTTATACAGTTTAGCAACATAGCACCAATATTATCCAATATGTTAGTGAAAGACAGACACTATTTGATAACAGTATGATCAATAGAAGAACTGGGTGTAAACCGTACCTCGTGACTCGTGGAACTCCAAGGCTACTTGGGCATCAGCACCTAGACTGAAGTAGTTGTTGAATATTTTGAGAGGAAGCTGGTCTGTGACACCCTGATGATCTATCACTACCTCCTCTCCATCAATCTCCGCTTCCTCATTTGGCCGCACATCCACATTCCACCGGTCAAGTTGTACGAGTTGTCCCTCCTCCACATGACTTAGGACTTTTGTGATAGGTTCATCTGCATACCCCTATACAATAACAATATCTTCTGATCATAGAGGAAACACATGCTTAGATACACATGAGATTACTTACAAATCTTATAGGTCAATCATACAAGTTAACTGATATTATTTGTAATGCACACACATTTACTAATATTTAATCTTATGTCAAACATACAAGTTAACAAATCCAATATATCATAAACAAAGGTGTGAAAAACACAACTTTACTAACTAGAGAAACCGTTAATGAGCTCACAAAGGTATACCCTGTATTATCTTATCTAAATATTCACTCTGTTTGTAGGGCGTATAATAATAATATCTACATATGAATGAAGTAACAAAACAAGCCAACCAACATTTCATACACATCTACATATGAATAAAGTAACAAAACAACCCAACCAACATATCATACACACCTCCATACGAATGAAGTAACAAAACAACCCAACCAACATATCATACATATCTACATATGAATGAAGTAACAAAACAAGCCACCCAACATTTCATACACATCTACATAAGAATGAAGTAACAAAACAAGCCAACCAACATTTCATACACATCTATGAATGAAGTAACAAAACAACCAAACCAACATTTCATACACATCTACATATGAATGATGTAACAAAACAACCCAACCAACATTTCATACACATCAACATATGAATAAAGTAACAAAACAACCCAACTAACATTTCATACACATCTACATATGAATAAAGTAACAAAACAACCCAACCAACATTTCATGCACATCTACATATGAATGAAGTAACAAACCAAGCCAACCAACATTTCATACATAGCTACATATGAATGAAGTAACAAACCAAGCCAACCAACATTTCATACATAGCTACATATGAATGAAGTAACAAACCAAGCCAACCAACATTTCATACATATCTACATATGAATGAAGGAACAAAACAACCCAACCAACATTTCATACACATCAACATATGAATAAAGTAACAAAACAACCCAACTAACATTTCATACACATCTACATATGAATGAGTAACAAAACAACACAACCAACATTTCATACACATCTACATATGAATGATGTAACAAAACAACCCAACCAACATTTCATACACATATACATATGAATAAAGTAACAAAACAACCCAACCAACATATCATACATATCTACATATGAATGAAGCAACAAAACAACCCAACCAACATTTCATACACATCTACATATGAATAAAGTAACAAAACAACCCAACTAACATTTCATACACATCTACATATGAGGTCCCTTAGTTGTGTCGGGTCACAAAGCAAGGAAACACACAGCTTAGGAGGAGTTATGCTTACCAGGAGCAGAAATTTAAAGTAGCAAGGGTCATAACTCCAGGGATAGTTGTCCAATAGCTAGTTCTTTTTTTTATGCACATCTACATATGATTTGCGTTCACTTTGTGAAGTTGCAAAAAAATCCTAGGAACAATTAAGGAAGACTTTCACTTACAAGGCTTATGGAGCAGAAATTTAAACTTTCAAGGGCCATACAATGTTTCTCCAGGAAAAAAAGTCAAATCACAAATTCCATTCTTTATGCACATGTATATATGATGCATTTTTTCTGTGCCAAGTAACAAAAATATCACACAAAATGGTTAAGGAAGAGTTGTGTATCATGGATAGATGAATGAACAGCCGGACTAGGTGATCCTACCCCAGTTAAGAATTTGGGATACTGGTGGTATCTATATATACATACCCCACCCCAGTTGAGAGTGCGGGACAGGTCATTCCCCGTCCCCAAGGGCATGATGGCCACTGGTGGTGGGGGGTCCAGCCCCAAGCTATCTATCACAGATAAGATCCAACCCACTGTGCCATCTCCACCACACGCCAGAATCCGAAGGTTAGGCACTTTTTTATACAGGTCAAGTCTGCAACAAAATGGAGATATACAGACCCCACGATTACGATTAAGTTCTTCACAGATATGCTTCAAATATATATTTACAATAAAATACTTCAATGGACTTCAGGTACAGTGAAATCTATAAGTGAGCTTCAAGTACAGTTACATAATTCAGATGACCTTAAGTGCAGATAAATAATTCATATGACCTTAAGTGCAGTTAAATAATTAAGATGACCTTAAATACAGTTAAATAATTCAGATGACCTTAAGTACAGTTAAATAATTCAGATGACCTTCAGTACAGTTAAATAATTCAGATGACCTTCAGTACAGTTAAATAATTCAGATGACCTTAAGTACAGTTAATTAATTCAGATGACCTTAACTACAGTGAAATAATTCAGATGACCTTCAGTACAGTTAAATAATTCAGATGACCTTCAGTACAGTTAAATAATTCAGATGACCTTCAGAACAGTGAAATAATGTTGTTGTATTATTTGCTGCCTATCTGTATCAATAGGTTTTGTTGATAAGATATAATTTTTCTCTATTCCAAACACAACAATTAAAGAAAACTAACTCCAAATTTGGTCATTCTTTGGTCTTTCTACACAAGAAAACCTACATACCCAGGCTTTGGTCCTCCCTGGGTTAAGTCAAACACTTGGCGGGGGTTGAGCCACCAGTTAAACTTGTGCATGAGTTTTGCCCCTTGATTGCCACCACTCTTTGGGTTGATAAACACTAGTAAAGGCTTCAGGAGTGGTGAAGGGATTGGTTTTATGATAAAATGGCGATTGTCATCTTTGTTTTTCTTTTTCTTCACAGAAGATCTCCTTTTCTTTCGTAAAGATGATTTGAAAGAACCCTGAAATTCAAAACGAAAGGTATTACACTATTATACTACTGTTTATAACACCCCTTAATACAGTCACCCATTGATACATTCACTCATTAATATATCCATACAAATATTCACAATACATAATCTATTAATTGGTTTGGTTGGGTTTGGTTATTTAAGGATGAGCCAGGTTTAAGTTGTGGAGGAAAACCTGAGTACCTGCATAAAAACCACCAACATCCAGCAAGTACATGGCAACTGCCTCAGGAACCCGCGACCCAGTGGGGGAGGGCTAGTGATCATGGGCAGTAGCTGTGCCATTATACAGTACACAAATACCACAGAAACTGTGTCAATGGGTTAAATATGAGTTGTATAGGTGTGTAAGTGGGTTGCTATGGTTGGTTTGTCATAGTGGGTTGTTGTGGCTGGTTTGTCAGAGTGTTGTTATAGTGGGTTGTTATGGTTGGTTTGTTATAGTGGGTTGTTATGGTTAGTTTGTCAGAGGTTGTTATAGTGGGTTGTTATGGTTGGTTTGTCATAGTGGGTTGTTGAGGCTCTTTTGTCAGAGGGTTGTTATAGTGGGTTTTTGTGGTTTGTTTGTCAGAGGGTTGTTATATTTGGTTGTTATGGTTGGTTTGTCAGAGGGTTGTTAAAGTGGGTTGTTGTGGTTGGTTTGTCAGAGGTTGTTTTAGTGGTTTGTAATGGTTCGTTTGTCAAAGTGTTTCTATAGTGGGTTGTTATGGTTGGTTTGTCAGAGGGTTGTTATAATGGGTTTGTCAGTCAGGGGGTTGTTATAGTGGGTTATTATGGGTGGTTTGTCAGAGGGTTGTTATAGTGGGTTGTCGTGGTTGGTTTGTTAAAGTGGGTTGTAATGGTTAGTTTGTCAGAGGTTGTTATAGTGGGTTGTTATGGTTGGTTTGTCATAGTGGGTTGTTATGGTTAGTTTGTCAGAGGGTTGTTATAGTGGGTTGTTATGGTTGGTTTGTCAGAGGTTGTTATAGTGGGTTGTTGTGGTTTGTTTGGCAGAGGGTTGTGATAGTGGGTTGTTGTGGCTGGTCATAGGGTTTTGTAATGGTTCGTTTGTCAAAGTGTTTCTATAGTGGGTTGTTATGGTTGCTTTGTCATAGTGGGTTGTTATAGTTAGTTTGTCAGAGGGTTGTATAGTGGGTTGTTATGGTTGGTTTTTCAGAGGGGTGTTATAATGGGTTTGTCAGTCAGGGGGTTGTTATAGGGGGTTATTATGGGTGGTTTGTCAGAGTGTTGTTATAGTGGGTTGTCGTGAGTGGTTTGTCATAGTGGGTTGTTATGGTTAGTTTGTCAGAGGTAGTTATAGTGGGTTGTTGTGGTAAGTTTGTCAGAGGGTTGTTATAGTAGGTTGTTGTGGCTGGTTTGGCAGAGGGTCGTTATATTTGGTTGTTATGGTTGGTTTGTCAGAGGGTTGTTATGGTTAGTTTGTCAGAGGTAGTTATAGTGGGTTGTTGTGGTTGGTTTGTTATAGTGGGTTGTCATGGTTAGTTTGTCAGAGGGTGTTATAGTGGGGTGTTATGGTTGGTTTGTCATAGGGGGTTGTTATGGTTAGTTTGTCAGAGGTTGTTATAGTGGGTTGTCGTGGTTGGTTTGTCATAGTGGGTTGTTGTGGCTGGTTTGTCAGAGGGTTGTTATAGTGGGTTGTTATGGTTGGTTTGTTATAGGGTTGTTTTGGTTTGTTTGTCAGAGGTTGTTTTAGTGGGTTGTTATGGTTAGTTTGTCAGAAATTGTTATAGGGGGTTGTTATGGTTGGTTTGTCAGAGGGTTGTTATAATGGGTTTGTCAGAGGGTTGCTATAGTGGGTTCGTCAGAGGGATGTTATAGTGGGTTGTTGTGGTTGGTTTGTCATAGTGGGTTGTTATAGTGGGTTGTTATGGTTGGTTTGTCAGAGGTTGTTAAAGTGGGTTGTTGTGGTTGGTTTGTTATAGTGGGTTGTTATAGTGGTTTGCTATGGTTGGTTTGTTAGAGGGTTGTTATAGTGGGTTGTTATAGTTGGTTTGTTATAGTGGGTTGTTATGGTTAGTTTGTCAGAAATTGTTATAGGGGGTTGTTATGGTTGGTTTGTCAGAGGGGTGTTATAGTGGGTTGTTATAGTTGGTTTGTTATAGTGGGGTGTTATGGTTGGTTTGGTATAGTGGGTTGTTATAGTGGGGTGTTATGGTTGGTTTGTCAGAGGTTGTTAAAGTGGGTTGTTGTGGTTGGTTTGCCAGAGGTTGTTTTAGTGGTTTGTAATGGTTCGTTTGCCAGAGTGTTTTTATAGTGGGTTGTTATGGTTGGTTTGTCAGAGGGTTGTTATTGCGCGTTGTTATGGTTGGTTTGTCATAGTGGGTTGTTGAGGCTCTTTTGTCAGAGGGTTGTTATAGTGGGTTGTTATGGTTGGTTTGTCAGAGGTTGTTAAAGTGGGTTGTTGGGGTTGGTTTGTCAGAGGGTTGTTATTGTGGGTTGTTATGGTTGGTTTGTTATAGTGGGTTGTTATAGTGGGTTGTTATGGTGGGTTTGTTAGAGGGTTGTTATATTTGGTTGTTATGGTTGGTTTGTCAGAGGGTTGTCATAGTGGGTTGTTGTGGTTGGTTTGGCAGAGGGTTGTTATAATGCGGTTGTCAGAGGGTTGTTACAGTGGGTTCGTCAGAGGGATTTTATAGTGGGTTGTTGTGGTTGGTTTGTCAGAGGGTTGTTATAGTGGGTTGTTGTGGTTTGTTTGTCGGAGGGTTGTTATTGTGGGTTGTTATGGTTGGTTTGTCAGAGGGGTGTTATAGTGGGTTGTTATAGTTGGTTTGTTATAGTGGGTTGTTATGGTTGGTTTGGTATAGTGGGTTGTTATAGTGGGTTGTTATGGTGGGTTTGTTAGAGGGTTGTTATATTTGGTTGTTATGGTTGGTTTGTCAGAGGTTGTTAAAGTGGGTTGTTGTGGTTGGGTTGTCAGAGGGATGTTGTTGTGGGTTGTTATGGTTGGGTTGTCAGAGGGTTGTTATTGTGGGTTGTTATGGTTGGTTTGTTATAGTGGGTTGTTATAGTGGGTTGCTATGGTTGGTTTGTTAGAGGGTTGTTATAGTGGGTTGTTGTGGCTGGTCATAGGGTTTTGACCGTGAGTTGTTACAGTGAGTTGTCAGTATAAACCCTCAGTAACTTGTTATAGTATATGTGAGACCACTTTTGCTAACTTTATTGATTGAAGTCTGGACAAAACAGGGACAATATCCTCTAGCATATATTCATTGACAGATTTATTTTTAAGAGATTGTTCTCATCACATAAATCCAAAAAAATCCTGACTCTAAATGTTATTCAGAACCCAAATGACTGGACTAACGAGGTCTCACTACAATATATATGCATGGTTACTGAGACAGCCTACCACGCCATCAACACTTACTACAAGATCAATACCAGCCAGGAATATTAGCATAAATAATCTACAACAAGTAAACCCTGACACAAAGTTTTCATTCTAGTTGCTGTCTTACATGCATTTGATCAACAAAACAAACATAAGACAAGTAACAATAATCTATTTTCAACATATAACACGTCTGGTGGTACTCAGTATAAACACAACACATATATATACAACACACAATCACAAGTCTGGTGCTACTCGGTACAAACACAACACATATAACACACAATCACAAGTCTGGTGGTACTCGGTACAAACACAACACATACAACACACAATCACAAGTCTGGTGGAACTCAGTACAAACACAACACATACAACACACAATCACAAGTCTGGTGGTACTCAGTACAAACACAACACATACAACACACAATCACACGTCTGGTGGTACTCAGTACAAACACAACACATACAACACACAATCACACGTCTGGTGGTACTCAGTACAAACACAACACATACAACACACAATCACGAGTCTGGTGGTACTCGGTACAAACACAACACATACAACACCCACACAATCACTCAACACTTATCTGGTACACATTACAACCACAATTTGAAGACTTTATGCTTCTGAAACATAACCTGGTAGATTTCCATTCATTCCCATGGTGACATTACCAAAGAGGCTTATGGGAGAGGAAGCTGCCAGGTAAATTGACACCTGGATGATAGGTAAGGACACATTCTAGTTTACATTTCACATTTCTTGTTTCATCTATAGTGTCCGCTAGGGTAAGATATTTTTTTAAACACAAGAGAAACAATTTCATTCAAGAAACATCAATTCTTTTTCCTGATGTATATCAAAAAAGAAGGTATCCTCTTCAGTTGATAAAACAGTCGGAATAAAGCTTTAAAGTCACCTGCATCTGATTTTTATCGAATGGCCATGCTTTGAACATTAAAAAAGAACAGACATAATTGAATATCATATTCCCGCAATATATTGGTGAAAGGGAGAAATACTATGTATAACCTGTTGCTGGGTGAGATTGTGTTATCATCCAAGGGCTAGGATTCTGGGTGAGATTGTGTTATCATCCGAGGGCTAGGTTTCTGGGTGAGATTGTGTTATCATCCGAGGGCTAGGATTCTGGGTGAGATTGTGTTATCATCCGCGGGGTTGGATTCTGGGTGAGATTGTGTTATCATCCGAAGGCTAGGTTACTGGGAGAGATTGTGTTATCATCCGAGGGCTAGGATTCTGTAACATAATGCTGAATAGGGAGCAGGCTGAGGTTGGTATGTTTTATAAGTATCCGGTCTGGTATAACTATCTGATATGGTCTTTGTACTACTCAAACTAATTAACATTTTTATGTGTGAACAATGTAGTCTGTGCTGATATTTTAGAGAAGAAATATTTATTTGGGGAAAAACATAGCACTCCATGCCCGTTTGAGGATGGGAGATCACTCTGGCTCTGTCATCGAGATATGGGTCAGGTGACAGTAGGGAGGGCGGTATATTGGAATCGTTTGTTTTGGAGCTACAAAGATGGTGTAGGTATTGTTTATGAATACTTAAGTTATGGTAATAATTAATGAAATTTCATTTCATATTAAATCATACTGCAATCACTTGATGATAATTCCAACCAAGTTTGAATGCTTTCACACTGAAAATAAGCAAAATATACCCCAAAGTGTTATATCCCTATACTTAATCACAACTGATGGCTGACAATGTCTGAAAAACGACAATCGCAATAAATCAACTGACACTTCATCTAAGGTGACCTAAAATATTGAAAAAAATAACAAAGTAATCAAAGAAGAACAACTAAATTGGTTTCTGAACCAAACTAATTCCTATCCTAATAGAATAAAATGCCTAGACTTACTAATGCAGTAATTTTTGTTATACTAGTTTCATAATGATTTCTGTGAAGTACACTTTGTTAACATTGAGTTAGTTGTATAGGTCTATACATTCATAGCTTTAACACAACCATGTTACAAAACAGGCAAACAGATCTCTATACCATACAGATCTCTATATCATACAGATCTCTATACCATACAGATCTCTATACCAAACAGATCTCTACACCAAACAGATCTCTATACCATACAGATCTCTACACCAAACAGATCTCTATACCATACATATCTCTTTACCATACAGATCTCTACACCAAACAGATCTCTATACCATACAGATCTCTACACCATACAGATCTCTACACGAAACAGATCTTTACACCATACAGATCACTATACCAAACAGATCTCTATACCATACAGATCTCTACACCAAACAGATCTCTATACCATACAGATCTCTACACCATACAGATCTCTACACCATACAGATCTCTATACCATACAGATCTCTATACCATACAGATCTCTATACCAAACAGATCTCTATACCAAACAGATCTCACCACCAAACAGATCTCTATACCAAACAGATCTCTATACCAAACAGATCTCTACACCAAACAGATCTATACACCAAACAGATCTATACACCATACAGATCTCTATACCATACAGATCTCTACACCAAACAGATCTCTATACCATACAGATCTCTATACCATACAGATCTCTACACCAAACAGATCTCTATACCATACAGATCTCTATACCATACAGATCTCTACACCAAACAGATCTCTATACCATACAGATCTCTATACCATACAGATCTCTACACCAAACAGATCTCTATACCATACAGATCTCTATACCATACAGATCTATACACCAAACAGATCTCTATACCATACAGATCTCTATACCATACAGATCTCTACACCAAACAGATCTCTATACCATACAGATCTCTATACCATACAGATCTCTACACCAAACAGATCTCTATACCATACAGATCTCTATACCATACAGATCTCTACACCAAACAGATCTCTATACCATACAGATCTCTATACCATACAGATCTCTACACCAAACAGATCTCTATACCATACAGATCTCTATACCATACAGATCTCTACACCAAACAGATCTCTATACCATACAGATCTCTATACCATACAGATCTCTACACCAAACAGATCTCTATACCATACAGATCTCTATACCATACAGATCTCTACACCAAACAGATCTCTATACCATACAGATCTCTATACCATACAGATCTCTACACCAAACAGATATCTACACCATACAGATCTCTATACCATACAGATCTCTATACCAAACAGATCTCTACACCAAACAGATCTCTACACCAAACATATTTCTATACCAAACCGATCTCTATACCATACAGATCTCTATACCAAACAGATCTCTATACCATACAGATCTCTACACCAAACAGATCTCTAAACCAAACAGATCTCTTTACCATACATATCTCTACACCAAACAGATCTCTATACCATACAGATCCCTACACCAAACAGATCTCTTTACCAAACAGATCTCTACACCAAACAGATCTCTACACTAAATAGATCTATACACCATACAGATCTCTACACCATACAGCTTTCTACACAAACAGATCTCTACACCAAACAGATCTCTACACCATACAGATCTCTACACCACACAGATCTCTATACCATACAGATCTCTATACCATACATATCTCTATACCAAACAGATCTCTACACCAAACAGATCTCTATACCATACAGATCCCTACACCAAACAGATCTCTACACCAAACAGATCTCTACACCAAACAGATCTCTATACCATACAGATCTCTACACCAAACAGATCTCCACACCAAACAGATCTCAAACAGATCTCTATACCATACAGATCTCTATACCATACATATCTCTACACCAAACAGATCTCTATACCAAACAGATCTCTACACTATACAGATCTCAACACCAAACAGATCTCTACACCAAACAGATCTCTACACTAAATAGATCTCTACACCATACAGATCTCTACACCATACAGCTATCTACACAAACAGATCTCTACACCATACCGATCTCTACACCATACAGCTATCTACACAAACAGATCTCTACACAAAACAGATCTCTACACCATACAGATATCTACACCATACATATCTCTAAAGAAACAGATCTCTACAGAAAACAGATCTCTACACCAAACAGATCCCTACACCAAACAGATGAAAGGTCATATTGACCACAAGTAATACACTTACTTTCTTTGGCAATTTGATGATCCAAGATGGGGGTACGATGAGAGCCTGATGGGGCCCAAGGGAGCACTGCTCCTCTATCTGCTGCATCATAAAGCAGGAGACTTTGTTGTGGTACGCTGCTTTACACCACGAACAGCTGATGGCAATTATTTCCTGGAATGTAAATTAATCTTCTTCATAATGACCTGGTTAGATACGTGTCCTCTTTAAATGCTAACCTCGATATATATGTTTATTGTCTAAACACTTACCTGGTTAAATATCTGTAGTCTCGAAATACTGGACTGGTTAAATACCTGTAGTCTCTAAACACTGGATTGGTTAAATACCCGTAGTCTCTAAACACTGGACTGGTTAAATGCCTGTAGTCTCTAAACACTGGACTGGTTAAATACCTGTAGTCTCTAAACACTGGATTGGTTAAATACCTGTAGTCTCTAAACACTGGACTGGTTAAATGCCTGTAGTCTCTAAACACTGGATTGGTTAAATACCTGTAGCCTCTAAACACTGGACTGGTTAAATTCCTGTAGTCTCTAAACACTGGACTGGTTAAATACCCGTACTCCCTTAACACTGACCTGGTTAAATACCTGTAGTCTCTAAACACTGGACTGGTTAATACCTGTAGTCTTTAAACACTGGACTGGTTAAATACCTGTAGTCTCTAAACACTGGACTGGTTAAATACCTGTAGTCTCTAAACACTTGACTAGTTAAATGCCTGTAGTCTCTAAACACTGGATTGGTTAAATACCTGTAGTCTCTAAACACTGACCTGGTTAAATACCTGTAGTCTCTAAACACTGGACTGGTTAAATACCCGTACTCCCTTAACACTGACCTGGTTAAATACCTGTAGTCTCTAAACACTTACCTGGTTAAATACCCGTAGTCTCTAAACACTGGACTGGTTAAAAACCCGTAGTCTCTAGACCCTGGACTGGTCAAATACCTGTACTCCCTAAACACTGACCTGGTTAAATACCTGTAGTCTCTAAACAGTTACCTGGTTAAATACCCATAGTCTCTAAACACTGGATTGGTTAAATATCTGTAGTCTCTAAACACTGGACTGGTTAAAAACCTGTAGTCTCTAAACCCTGGACTGGTCAAATACCTGTAGTTTCAAAACACTGGACTAGTTAAATGCCTATAGTCTCTAAACACTGGACTGGTCAAATACCTGTAGTCTCTAAACACTGGACTAGTTAAATGCCTGTAGTCTCTAAACACTTACCTGGTTAAATACCTGTAGTCTCTAAACACTGGACTAGTTAAATACATGTAGTCTCTAAACACTAACATGGTTAAATACCTGTAGTCTCTAAACACTTACCTGGTCAAATACTTGTACTCTCTAAACAATGACCTGGTTAAATACCTGTAGTCTCTAAACACTGGACTGGTGGTTAAATACCTGTAGTCTCTAAACACTGGACTAGTGAAATACCTGTACTCCCTAAACACTGACCTGGTTAAATACCTGTAATCTCTAAACACTTATCTGGTTATATTTTTGTACTCATGTCCTCTCTAAACACTAACTTGGTGAGATATGTGTACTCATGTACTGTCTAAACACTAACCTGGTTAGATATATATGTACTCATGTACTCTCTAGACTCTAACCTGGTTAGATATGTGTACTCACGTACCCTCTGAACACTAACCTGGTTAGATACATGTACTCTCTTAACACTGACCTGGTTAAATACTTGTACTATCTTAACATTTACCAGGTCAAATACCTGTACTCTCTAAACACTAACCTGGTTAGATATGTGTACTTTTGTATTCTCTAAACACTAACCTGGTTAGATATGTGTACTCATGTAATCTCTAAACACTAACTTGGTTAGATATGTGTACTCATGTACTCTCTGAACACTAACCTGGTTAGATACATGTACTCTCTTAACACTGACCTGGTTAAATACTTGTACTATCTTAACATTTACCAGGTCAAATACCTGTACTCTCTAAACACTAACCTGGTTAGATATGTGTACTTATGTACTCTCTAAACACTAACCTGGTTAGATATGTGTACTCATGTAATCTCTAAACACTAACTTGGTTAGATATGTGTACTCATGTACTCTCGAAACACTGACCTGGTAAGATATATGTACTCTCTAAACACTGACCTGGTTAGATATGTGTACTCACGTAATCTTGAAACACTGACCTGGTTAGATGCATGTACACTCAAACCACTGACCTGATGAAATGCTTAAATTCTTTAAGCATATTTTAATTTAAAACCTTTCTTTAGTATCGTCAAAGTTGTAATTGTACTCTAAACATTGTAATTGTGTATCTTTATGATCACCGTCTAGTTTGTAAATCTCTAAATACCATCCAAAATAAAGAGTAAATCACATTTGTCCATGGCTTTTAAAAAAAAAAAAAGGAATTGTTAAGACAAATTTAATTACCGAAATAAAAGCACCACCGCTCATGTGTGTTTGAATTGTAGGTATAAGTGTCTTTAAAGATGGGTTTATGATGTTTCTATTCACACAATAAAGAAGTGCAATCTCAGATGTCAGATAAACCCATATGTGTTACCTTTATTAACAAAATCATTCATAAAATGTCCATTATCAACATTGTATCATTGTTCCAGTAAACTACTTAAATTGAAAATGGTCTGTTTTCACCTCAACCTTGACCTGGCCAGTTATCTGCAGATACCAGTACAAACAATCCCACAAACTGAATGGCTGGCTGGTTGTCAGGAGATTCACTTAGCTGCTTTGTGAGGGGGAATTCACTTAATGGCTGACTGGTTGTCAGGAGATTCACTTAGCTGCTGAGTGATTGTGAGGGAATGCACTTAATGGCTGACTGGTTGTCAGGAGATTCACTTAGCTGCTGAATGATTGTGAGGGAATTCATTTAATGGCTGACTGGTTGTCAGGAGATTCATTTAACTGCTGACTGATTGTGAGGGATTTCACTGAATGGCTGACTGGTTGTCAGGAAATTCACTTAAGTGCTGACTGGTTGTCAGGGGAATCACTTAACTGCTGACTGATTGTCAGGGAATTAACTGAATGGCTGGCTTGTTGTCAGAGAATTCACTTAACTTCTGACTGATTGTCAGGGAATTCAATTAATGGTGGACTGGTTGTCAGATAATTCACTTAATAGCTGACTGGTTGTCGGGGGATTCACTCAATAGCTGACTAATTGTCGGGGGATTCACTTAATATCTGGGTGGTTGTCAGGAGATTCACTTAATGGCTGACTGGTAGTCAGGGGAATCACTTAATGGCTGGCTGGTCGTCAGGGGATTCACTAACTGGCTGACTGGTTGTCAGGGGATAAACTTAATGGCTGACTGGTTGTCAGGGGAATCACTTAATGGCTGACTGGTTATCAGGGGAATCACTAACTGGCTGACTGGTTGTCAGGGGATAAACTTAACTGCTGACTGGTTGTGAGGGGATTCATTAAATGGCTGACTAGTTGTCAGGGATTTAACTTAATTGCTGACTGGTTGTCAGGGGATTCACTTAATTGCTGACTGGTTGTCAGGGGAATCACTTAATGGCTGACTGGTTGTCAGGGGAATCACTAACTGGCTGACTGGTTGTCAGGGGATTCACTTAATGGCTGACTGTTTGTCAGGGGAATCACTTAATTGCTGACTGTTTGTCAGGGGATTCACTTAATGGTTGACTGGTTGTCAAGAGATTTACTTAATGGCTGACTGGTTGTCAGGATATTCACTTAATTGTTGACTGGTTGTCAGGGGAATCACTTACTGGCTGACTGGTTGTCAGGGGATAAACTTAATGGCTGACTGGTTGTCAGGGGAATCACTAACTGGCTGACTGGTTGTCAGGGGATAAACTTAATTGCTGACTGGTTGTCAGGGGATTCATTAAATGGCTGACTGGTTGTCAGGGATTTAACTGAATTGCTGACTGGTTGTCAGGGGATTCACTTAATGGTTGACTGGTTGTCAAGAGATTTACTTAATGGCTGACTGGTTGTCAGGATATTCACTTAATTGTTGACTGGTTGTCAGGGGAATCACTTAATGGCTGACTGGTTGTCAGGGGAATCACTAACAGGCTGACTGGTTGTCAGGGGATAAATTTAATGGCTGACTGGTTGTAAGGGGAATCACTTAATTGCTGACTGTTTGTCAGGGGATTCACTGAACTACTGACTGGTTGTCGTTGAATTTACTAAATGGCCGACTGGTTGTCGGGCGATCCACTTTATGGCTGACTTGTTGTCAGGAGAATCACGTAATAGTTGACTTGCTGGTTGGGAAATCACTTAATGGCTGACTGGTTGTCGGGGGATTTACTAAATGGCTGACTGGTTGTTAGGGGATTCACTTGATTGCTGACTGGTTGTCAGGGTAATCACTAAATATCAGACTGGTTGTCAGGGGGTTCACTTAATGGCCTACTTGTTGTCAGGGGAATCACTTAATGATTGACTGGTTGTGAGGGGATTCACTTAATGGTTGACTGGTTGCCAGGGGAATCACTTAATTGCTGACTGGTTGTCAGAGGATTCACTTAATTGCTGACTGGTTGTCAGGGGAATCACTTAATTGCTTACTGGTTGTCAGGGGAATCACTAACTGGCTGACTGATTGTCAGAGGATTCACTTAATTGCTGACTGGTTGTCAGGGGAATCACTTAATTGCTTACTGGTTGTCAGGGGATTCACTTAATTGCTGACTGGTTGTCAGGGGATTCACTTAATTGTTGACTGGTTGTCAGGGGATCCCAGAAAGATCTATACACAAAACAAGAGGCCCAATGGGCCAGCATCGATCACCTGGTATTAATTTCACACTTGTAACCTTAAATATAGGTCAAGGTCATTAATTAGAACAAACTTAGTAGGCCTTTACCCCAGCATGGGTAGTGCTTCATCCCAGCATAATACTGGCCAAATATCATCAACTTGGGCCTTTTGGTTATTCAGAAGAAGTCATTTAAAGATTTTGAACATATTTGACCCATGTGACCTTGAATATATGTCAAGGTCATTCATTTGAACAAACTTGGTAGCCCATTATCAAAGCATGCTACTTGCATTCGGGCCAGGTGAGATAAAAAATTCTTAAGTGGATTTCATGAACATCAATAATTAAACTTATGTTTATGTAGCACAATCACAAGGTAAAGGTTCAACATAAAATTAAATAAAATTAGAAGGCACTTACTTTGCTTTGGAAAGCGAATCGCTGTTGGAATGACTAAAAAAGAAATAACAATGAGTTAGTAAGAAAATTGTAAATAGATCTTTATCTAATAAGAAGTTTGAAGTCATAAACAAGTATCTTCCTGATGTTTGCATTCATAAATATTCTATGAAGACAGGCAGTATGTGAAGACTGTTATAAGATGAGTTTCTCTATTATACCTTTCCACACTGTTTACATTTGCCCTCCTGGCGACGTCTGTGGACCCAATGGTGACGCATGGAAGTTTGCTGAAAAATACATGAAATTATGACAATTAAAGCTGAAATAGTTAGTTACAGGCCCTCAGGTCATTTAATTGGACAAACTTGATAGTCCTTTATCCAAGCATGCTTCAAACAAACTATCAAGACTGGAGACCTCTTGGTTACTCTGTTTTTTATTTCAACAAATTAATAGCCCTTCATCCAAGCAAGAAACAGGCCATATATCCCGACTGTAGGTATCACTGTTTGTTAGAAGAGATCATATCAAGATGTTTACAAATACCTTTACTCCAAATGTAAGTCGATGTCACTTATTAGAAAACTCAACTTTTATAGTTTTAGAGATAGTATGGATTATAATTCATCTGAAAATATTGTTTGAAATTTAACTTATTCAACTCCTGTGACCTTGAATTACAGGAGAACAAGGAGACACCTGTTACAGAGTAGCTGTATCACACAGTCTGGAGTACAAGGAGACACTTGTTACAGAGTAGCTGTATCACACAGTCTGGAGTACAAGGAGACACCTGTTACAGTGTAGCTGTATCTAAGTCGGGAATACAAACAGACACCTGTTACAGAGTAGCTGTGTTACACAGTGGAGAGTACAAAGAGACACCTGTTACAGTGTAGCTGTATCACACAGTCTGGAGCACAAGGAGACACCTGTTACAGTGTCGCTGTCACACAGTCTTGAGTACAAGAAGACACCTGTTACAGTGTTGCTGTGTCCCACAGTTGGGAGTACAAGGAGACCCCTGTTACTCTGTAGCTGCATCACATAGTGGGGAGTACAAGGAGACACTTGTTACAGTGTAGCTGTGTTATACAGTTGGGAGTACAAGGAGTAGCTGTGTTACACAGTGGAGGGTACAAAGAGACACCTGTTACAGTGTAGCTGTGCCACACAGTGGGGAGTACAAGGAGACAACTGTTACTGTATCTAAGTCGGGAATACAAACAGACACCTGTTACCGAGTAGCTGTGTTACACAGTGGAGAGTACAAAGAGCCACCTGTTACAGTGTAGCTGTATCTAAGTCGGGAATACAAACAGGCACCTGTTACAGAGTAGCTGTATCACACAGGCTGGAGTACAAGGAGACACCTGTTACAGTATAGCCGTCACACAGTCTGGAGTACAAGAAGACACCTGTTACAGTGTTGCTGTGTTACATCGTCGGAAGGACAAGGAGACACCTGTTACTCTGTAGCTGGAGTAGCTGTATCACACAGTCTGGAGCACAAGGAGACACCTGTTACTCTGTAGCTGGAGTAGCTGTATCACACAGTCTGGAGTACAAGGTGACACTTGTTACAGAGTAGCTGTGTTACACAGTGGGGAGTACAAGGAGTTACCTGTTACAGTGTAGCTGTGTTACAGAGTCTGGAGTACAAGGAGACAGCTGTATCTAAGTCGGGAATACAAACAGACACCTGTTACAGAGCAGCTGTGTTACACAGTGGAGAGTACAAAGAGACACCTGTAACAGTGTAGCTGTTTCACACAGTCTGGAGTACAAGGAGACCCTTGTTACAGAGTAGCTGTATCACGCAGTCTGTAGTACAAGGAGACACTTGTTACAGAGGAGCTGTGTTACACAGTGGGTAGTACAAAAAGACACTTGTTACAGTGTAGCTGTGTCACACACTGGGGAGTACAAGGAGACACTTGTTACAGAGTAGCTGTATCACGCAGTCTGTAGTACAAGGAGACACTTGTTACAGTGAAGCTGTATCACACAGTTGGGAGTACAAGGAGACCCCTGTTACTCTGTAGCTGCATCACACAGGGGGGAGTACAAGGAGAACCTTGAATTACAGGAGAACAAGGAGACACCTGTTACAGTGTCGCTGTCACACAGTCTTGAGTACAAGGAGACACCTGTAACAGTGTAGCTGTATCACACAGTCTGTAGTACAAGGAGACACTTGTTACAGAGGAGCTGTGTTACACAGTGGGTAGTACAAAAAGACACTTGTTACAGTGTAGCTGTGTTATACAGTTGGGAGTACAAGGAGTAGCTGTGTTACACAGTGGAGGGTACAAAGAGACACCTGTTACAGTGTAGCTGTATCTAAGCCGGGCATACAAACAGACACCTGTTACAGAGCAGCTGTGTTACACAGTGGAGAGTACAAAGAGCCACCTGTTACAGTGTAGCTGTACCACACAGTCTGGAGTACAAGGAGACCCCTGTTACAGTGTAGCTGTGTTACACAGTGGAGAGTACAAAGAGCCACCTGTTACAGTGTAGCTGTACCACACAGTCTGGAGTACAAGGAGACCCCTGTTACAGTGTAGCTGTGTTACAGAGTCGGGAGGACAAGGAGACACCTGTTACTCTGTAGCTGGAGTAGCTGTATCACACAGTCTGGAGAACAAGGAGACACTTGTTACAGAGGAGCTGTGTTACACAGTGGGTAGTACAAAAAGACACTTGTTACAGTGTAGCTGGGTCACACTGTCGGGGGTACAAGGAGACACCTGTTTCTCTGTAGCTGCATCACACAGTCTGGAGTACAAGGTGACACTTGTTACAGAGTAGCTGTGTTACACAGTGGGGAGTACAAAGAGACACCTGTTGCAGTGTAGCTGTATCACACAGTCTGTAGTACAAGGAGACACTTGTTACAGCGTAGCTGTGTTACACAGTGGGTAGTACAAAAAGACACTTGTTACAGTGTAGCTGTCACACAGTGGGAGTACAAGGAGACATTTGTTACAGTGTAGCTGTGTTACAGAGTCTGGAGTACAAGGAGACAGCTGTATCTAAGTCGGGAATACAAACAGACACCTGTTACCGAGTAGCTGTGTTACACAGTGGAGGGTACAAAGAGACACCTGTTACAGTGTAGCTGTGTCAAACTGTCGGGAGTACAAGGAGACACTTGTTACAGTGTAGCCATGTCACACACTAGGGAGTACAAGGAGACACTTATTATAGTGTAGCTGTGTTACACAGTGGGGAGTACAAGGAGTTACCTGTTACAGTGTAGCTGTGTTACAGAGTCGGGGGTACAAGGAGACACCTGTTTCTCTGTAGCTGCATCACACAGTCTGGAGTACAAGGAGACAATTGTTACAGAGTAGCTGTATCACGCAGTCTGTAGTACAAGGAGACACTTGTTACAGTGAAGCTGTATCACACAGTTGGGAGTACAAGGAGTCACCTGTTACAGTGTAGCTGGGTCACAGATACTGGAGTACAACGAGACACCTGTTACAGTGTAGCTGTGTTACAGAGTCTGGAGTACAAGGAGACCCCTGTTACAGTGTAGCTGTTTCACACAGTCTGGAGTACAAGGAGACAATTGTTACAGAGTAGCTGTATCACGCAGTCTGTAGTACAAGGAGACACTTGTTACAGCGTAGCTGTGTTACACAGTGGGTAGTACAAAAAGACATTTGTTACAGTGTAGCTGTGTTATACAGTTGGGAGTACAAGGAGACACTTGTTACAGTGTAGCTGTGTTATACAGTTGGGAGTACAAGGAGACAACTGTTACTGTATCTAAGTCGGGAATACAAACAGAAACCTGTTACAGAGTAGCTGTGTTACACAGTGGGGAGTACAAAGAGACACCTGTTGCAGTGTAGCTGTATCACACAGTCTGGAGCACAAGGAGACACCTGTTACAGTGTCGCTGTCACACAGTCTTGAGTACAAGGAGACACCTGTAACAGTGTAGCGGTGTCACACAGTCTGGAGGAGACACTTGTTACAGAGTAGCTGTGTTACACAGTGGAGGGTACAAAGAGACACCTGTTACAGTGTAGCTGTGCTACACAGTTGGTAGTACAAGGAGACACCTGTTACTGTGTAGCTGTCACACAGTCTTGAGTACAAGAAGACACCTGTTACAGTGTTGCTGTGTCACACAGTTGAGAGTACAAGGAGACATTTGTTACAGTGTAGCTGTGTTACACAGTGGAGAGTACAAAGAGCCACCTGTTACAGTGTAGCTGTATCTAAGTCGGGAATACAAACAGACACCTGTTACAGAGTAGCTGTGTTACACAGTGGAGAGTACAAAGAGCCACCTGTTACAGTGTAGCTGTACCACACAGTCTGGAGTACAAGGAGTCACCTGTTACAGTGTAGCTGTGTTACAGAGTCGGGGGTACAAGGAGACACCTGTTACAGTATAGCCGTCACACAGTCTGGAGTACAAGAAGACACCTGTTACAGTGTTGCTGTGTCCCACAGTTGGGAGTACAAGGAGACACTTGTTACAGAGGAGCTGTGTTACACAGTGGGTAGTACAAAAAGACATTTGTTACAGTGTAGCTGTGTTACAGAGTCGGGAGGACAAGGAGACACCTGTTACTCTGTAGCTGCCTCACACAGTGGGGAGTACAAGGAGACAACTGTTACTGTATCTAAGTCGGGAATACAAACAGACACCTGTTACAGAGCAGCTGTGTTACACAGTGGAGAGTACAAAGAGCCACCTGTTACAGTGTAGCTGTACCACACAGTCTGGAGTACAAGGAGACCCCTGTTACTCTGTAGCTGCATCACATAGTGGGGAGTACAAGGAGACACTTGTTACGGTGTAGCTGTGTTACACAGTGGGGAGTACAAAGAGACACCTGTTGCAGTGTAGCTGTGTCACACTGTCGGGAGTACAAGGAGACACTTGTTACG